GGGGGGGGAAGAACTGACTGCCTTTCTTTCATTGAATTTTCTCCTCTAGACCTGGTTTTGTAGCCAGCAACCTTGCTAATGTTTCTGCCATACAGAAATCACATGCATTTTAGTATAAGTTAATTTTACATTTTCAGTATTGTTTAAAATACTACAGCGTAAATCAGAGAAACTTTCAAGTTTTGCATCTCTCAAATAGCTTTTATAAGTTGTGTATCAGTTCAATCACTAATTTCTGTGATATGTCAATATTTTTGTTCATTTATTACTAACTTCCCCTTGCATCAAAAAATTTCACTAGACTAAAAATTTTAGTTCATGGAAAGGACCAGACCACATGATAAACAAGACATCCTTTATATAAATAAGTTCCTGAAGCAAAATTTCATCACTGAAAACATTGATGAGTTCTGCAGGAATCTGACTTTACTTTTAATTAATTTGTAGGGAATTTTATATTTTTTTTTTAAAGTCAATTAGGTAGGAGCATTCACCTCAATATCAATCATCAAATGTATTTACAGGATAACTTCATCTCACAAGAGAAAGGGCACGTTTTTTCTTTCCATGCTTAATCATTTGCTGACAAGCCATTAAGTCAAAGATTTTTGTTTATTGCTTTCATTGCACTAAAGGTTGTATTGAGACAGGCTGTACTAAACTTATCTCTAGCCTGCAAATAAAATAGAGAAAAGTATGCCCTCACTTAAAAAAAAAAGCCAAGCTGGTTGTGACTGAAAAATTATATAGAATGCCAGCCGTTTCGTAGCGTATGTTAAATGTATAACTGACTCTGAAAAGAAATACATCCCACAAACACAACTGCAGTTGTCAGTGGCACTGTTCTTGACCATCAGCAAAGATCTGGGCAAAATTAAGTTGTAAACTTCATTATTACTTTATTCCTAATGGTAATACTTTAAAAAGTGGACTGATGCACATTTAGATAGAAAAGCAGGGAAGCTTGCTTTACAGTTGTCTGTGCTACACCTGAGAATTGCATTATCATAAAAATATTTAAGGTGTCCACTTTTGCTACCCTTCCTCATCCTAGGCATTTATCAAAGTAAGGTCCTGCTTGTAGTGAGTAAACATGGCAAAATTGTGCCTAAAGGAAAAAAAAACCCACCTTTTTTATTACAAATTTTGGAAGTCACACATCCAATGAATATATTTCATCAAAGACTTGGGGATCAAAGTCTGAGTACTTCGTACATTCCCTTTTACTGAAAAAGTGTCATTAATTTATAATATAAAAAGTAACTGCTATGCTTACATAAATTTCAATGTAAATTCCAAGGCAAGAAATAGTTTGCCATGTCTGGTAAATTTATCCATATGAGGAAAATATATTTTTTTAAATATCAAATTTCTTTAAAACTTTGGATAACATGCACCAAAAAACAGCTGAAATGAAAGTATTTAAGTGATAAGGTCTGTACAAACATCTAACTCTCTCAAATTCTACATTCAATTTTGCTACATAGAATATGTCGTGATTTTGCTTTACAAAATTTTGTTATATGGAATACCATGTGATGCATCTATCAGATATGCTATACTTGTATTAAAAAAAGAAAACACATGGGAAACCAGACCCAAACTCAACACAAAGCCAACAGACATACAGTTAAAAAATAACACCAAAACAACAATGCTAAAGCTCCTTTTTTAATAGTTACTGAAATTTAAATGAAACACATCCAAAAGTTTTCATTCAAGCTACATAATTCTGCAGTACATAGAAGTTAGATGTATTGTTGGTATTCCACAACTTAAAAGCGGAAATAGAGATTCCCTATTCTGATTACAGTCAGCATTCAAGAATAGGGAGTGGAATTTCTGAAGTGACCACTAATAAAAAATGAATGCTAATTTTATCAATCTAGTTATAACAGAGATAAATGCTTGAATGGTCTGTTACTGCTCATCAGTCTGTGCAAAGCTCTGTTATCAATGAAGCCTAGAAAATATCTAGAAGAAATTCTCATCTTGCAACAATCTTTGGCAGTCACTTAACTTGCAACAAGACCACCAAAATAGTTTTCATTGCAAGAATACTCATTGCCACTAAACAAGAAGAGTTAATGAAAGGCATTTCTGTTGCTAAGTTTTCAACAACAACCAGTCTCTAGTTTTAAATTACCATAAAACAGACTTTCCCATTACATTTTCTCTGTTCACATTTGCAATAAGCAGTATGTTTGTTAACTGCCTCCATGTTACTACTTCATCATCTTTTGCATTGCCCTTAAGTGCTTGAGCTCTTCAAAAGTTTAGAGAAATGTCTTATCTAATGTTTCCTCCAACATGAAAAAAATCAAGCTGTTTTTAGGCAAACCATTCTTATCAAAAGGATTTGCTTGCTTTGGAGGCAGAATGTGGCAACTTGAAAAGAAATAAAACCAAAGGACATTCCCTATTAAACAAACTTTAAGTTTGGATGTGATTTTCAACAGTAAACTACCACACATCATCTATCACCAGTCCTTTGATTAATGGCCCCAATCAGAGAATCAAGAAAGCCTGTGACTTTTCTAGCAATAAAACCAGGAACCCAACAACATTTGCAAGTTAAGATGTAATGTTATCAAAATGTTTTTACCTCAAGTACTAGCCAGAGCTGTCCTCCCACATATTGATCTGCTTTGTAAAACATCCCATAAAATCTAACAACATTAGGATGATTGGGAAGAAACTGCAAAATATTATATTCTGCTTCAATTTCTTCATCTACATCCTAAATAAAACACACAAACACACAAAACATATAAACACAGTAAGTCCATACAAAGCAAAGACAAACTCTCATGGATAAAAAGAACCATTTTTTAATTAGTTTGCACTTTTAAATGGTTTTACTTTAATGCAGCTGCATGTACTCACACAATACTGTAAATTTAATCCACACCAATTCATGCCACTTTTGCTTTTTTTTTTTTTTTTTTTTTACACACAAAAATGTGAAGTCTGTGTAAAACAAGCAGTTGTTCTTCAAGGATTCTTTCAGTGCATAATACACCTAACCAGAAAATTAAAGTTATCAGTTGTCTAAATAAGAAATTTACACATGTATTATTTTCTAACCTGTTTTTAAAAATGCGTATTTTTTATTGTGTAAGCTAAATGTAAATACATGAACCTTTGATTCATTCTTTTTTCTATGGTCATCAGACAGGACCAAACACAGAACCATTTCACAAAACATCAAAGGAGACATCAGTAAAAACAAATACATCCTTATGAGGAAAAGACATATACCAGAAACAATTAAAGACAGGCAAAACAAAACCCATGAAATAAGCAAATGTTACTAAGTATTTGTTAATGAAAGAATTCTGTGAGAATTACAAAAATCATAGAATCCTAGAATGGTTTGGGTTGGAAGGGACCTCAAAGATCATCTAGTTCCAACCTCTATGTTGCGGGCAGGGACACCCTCCACTAGATCACATTGCCCAAAGCCTCATATTGTGTAATATCAGGCCACAACTCAGAACAGTACTGAAGCACCAAATCTTTCCTTGTTCCTGCACAGACTATGACTACTAGAAAATTTCAGATCTTACATGTATTTTCCTTTTTTTGCATTTTTCTAAAAAATATATAATCTTATTTATTACCTTCTTCAGATTTACCCATGAGAAAACCAAGAATAATTTCAATTGTGGTAGATGACAGAAACATAACTTTTTTAGTAAATATTTTAGGCCAATTTTTGTGATCAAACTCCAGCTTGATCCAACCTGAGCAGCTGCCAATTAAATCTTCCATCGAAAACTAGGGCCTTGGCTCTCATGGGAAACCAGGCATTTAATACCCCCTCAAAATGGAGCTGGCACAGAACTACCTCTGAGAATTTGGGCTGTGCTCTTCTGGTTTTTTATCTTAACTATTGCCTTGCAGTATTATCCACTTATAAAAGATAACAATAAAATATCCTAAAGTTCACAGTACTTCTGTGATGGGAAAAGTAATTCTTGTAGGGAGTACACAGAATAAAATAAGAACATTAAGTTTAACAGCATCTTGTATTTTCCCTGCTATAGCAGTCCCCTAAGAGGAATGCCTCTGTGCCTTCTTACCATTTGCATGCTCCAACCACAGATACCTAAATTTGTACCAGAAGAGTTACATAGACCTAAAAAAGAAACTAGGCAAATACTGTCTTAAAATAACATACAAGATGATGAAAGATACTGGTACCAAACTCCTCCTGTCAATGCATTCTGCAAAATTGTTCCCTTCAGGATGCTTTCGGTATCTTTCAACTCTGAGAATTCTTTTAAATTAACAATGAAGTTACAGCTTAATAACTTTTACTTACACTGATAGGATCCAGAATCTTTACTGCTGCCAAACTCCCATCTTTCTTATTGGCAACCTTGTAGACTTTACCGTAAGTGCCTTTCCCAATAGTCTCTATAATTTCCCAGGTATCTGAGGGATCGGCTAATGATTCTAGTCCGATCATACTGGAATTATATTGAAACAATCCATACAATGGCTTCCTGGAAAACAAAGCAGACACACACACAGTGGGAAGCTCTAAGTAACTCTGTACTAAAGAAGGTGTCTTATGATAAAGAAGTCAAATATTGTCCTAATTTGAGAAGCAACATAGATGGAATCACAAACAAAAACCAGACCGAAAGATAAGATCACAAAGTGAAGGAATGGAAAGAAAACGCTTGGGAATGCTTCTCTTGACTTTGCTGTATCTATTATTTCCTTCAAACATTGCCCCATACACTGCATCATTCTGAACACATTTCAACAAATTCTGACAAAATCTGATTCCTACCCCTACTGCACACTTTTTTAATGGACATTTTATACAATTGGTTTAACATAGCTCATGAAATGAGGACCTATTTCTTGTGCATTAAAAAGCCATGTCATGCTTTTAACACATTTTTGTCTAATGCTCCCTGGATAATTGCCAGACAGGCATTCAGTAGGTATAACATCTCATCACATCTGATAAATCTACAACAGGGCCATGTATAACCAGTTCAATAAAAGCTAAGACTGGTATCATAAAATACAAACTAACTTGATAACAGGCAACAGGTACACCACTGGGATGACATTCATCAATGGAGATGTTTCTCAACAATGGAACTTGTCTCTATCTCTGTATTTCATCAGAGTGTGTTATGGTCAGCTACACCAGCTGACTGCACCTCCACTTTCAGGATATCTCCCGGTCAGGGGAGTTGTTTCCTCAAACACTCCTAAGTGACATATGGATCACTGCAGCCTATGCAAAGGGCTCCTTCCCACCCTTAGAATTACACGGATGGGAAGTTCTGGTGATCAGGAAAATGAAAATACCATTTTAGGATTTCATTTCAAGTAGTGAGAACCTAGATCTTGCTCCTGAACTGGAATTACAGAAAGGAAAGATGAAGTTTAAGATGAGACTAACTTAACCTTCTTATATAACTCATCATTAGAGAAGCTGACTGGTTTATGGTTTCTCTGAGAAAGAATATTATTTGCCCATTTGGTGGTTGTCAGTAGGTAGACCACTTAACTAGGAGATGTAAAGTCTGAGATCCATGAACAAACCGAAGGAGAAAAATTAGAAAGCATTCTTGACAAAAGGCAACACCATAGCTGACTGCAAAAGCTCTCAATTTTTAGAGATGAATCAACTAGCACCTCAAACATACACTTGAATTTTAAGGTTTGAGCCATTCCTTTCTAAGCATATCTGATATCTGGAAACCTGCCTGAAGTAATTTTAAAAATCTGCTGTCTTATTTACCTCTTCACTATTTCCAGCATCAATGACCACTGGCATGAGAAATTTAGTCAGAAAGAAGTGTGAGCCTGACTGGGGAAAGTGATAAGTTAATAAGCAATGAAGCAGCAGCTCTTCAATCTAATTAAAGAATAATTGTGCTTTCTGCTCATGACAGAGAAGAAAACAACCTGTGTGCAAATTCATGTGCAGCACAGATCTGTATAGCAATATTCAAACTGGAAGCATGTGTCTAAATTCATTTGCATGCTTTGTTCCTTTCCAGAAGAAATTTTTTAATTTCTTTAGACCCTAAGACAAAATGTTCACATGTTGTTAGAGTAATTTACCATATAGCAGGCACAAAACACAGCTGTTACCAAAGTCAGGTTAGAAGTACAATCTTTTTTTAAACAATGGCAGGCACAGTTAGAGAAAACCTCTATTACCCTCCTTGGTTAAAACTGTATTTGCACTAAAGATAGTGCTAAATAATATATCAAATTGCTTTTATCTCCTGACCAAAACAGCAATGAAAAGAAGGAAAAAGAAGAAGAGAAGGCAGGAAAAAAAAAAAAGCTAGAATCAGTGTCATTTATCTGTTGTGGGTCAATAATGTAAGATATTAGGGCAGTTTCTCACTACTTGGATCCAATATGGCATGCCACAAATAAAGAATGGTATTCTGAACACATACAGTTAGCACCTCAACAGAGAAGCAGGTCAGGTGAAAGACTTCTCTGAAATCAGTGAACAGACTGTACTACATGCACTGAAGACAGCAGCCACAGACATGTAGCTCCTGATAAGCCAACCCTAAGAGCAAGGTTTGCTTGCAGGTTGGGGGGTGGTGGTGAATACAAACATAAATTAGAACAGTTGGATCTCAGATTAAAAAAAAAAACAACATATTGAACATGTGCGATTTTAATGCTTTAGGAGAAATGCTACAGACATTCATGTGCAAAGAAACAGAGAATAACAGACTGCAAACAGCTTTGATGCAACCTTACACACAAAAAAAAAAAAAAGAAAAAAATAAGAAAGTGACTGATATTCATTTCACTGTCACTATAACAACCACCCTACCACACAGATCGTCCAGAAAATGATGCATGGCACTCTTTGTACCGATGTGATATTTATTACAATGTATCCCTGCAAGCAGCTGTTGTCGATAAATATGTTTTTCCTTAAAACAAAACACAACACTGTAGTGTCATTGCCTGCTTTTGCTCTGATTAATAAGTAACCATTAAAATGGTATCTCCAAATTTTCAAAATACATTAACATTTCTTTATACCAGAAGACAATGTTGACAAAATAAAACCTAATGCAAAATTGTTACAGATGGAGTCCTCGCGGAGGATTGAAGACAAATTTTAGTGAGTGAGCACTTCTATGCATTGTGATAACAAGGCAGCATTTAGAGGTAGCATGTTTATGCATTACATGTAATCAGATTTGCAAATATTTACCATAAATGTCATCTACTTAAACTAAAAGAGCCTCTTCTTGAACTCAAGCAATACGTATCTAAACGAGTCTGCCACCAGTGAAAGTGCCCATTGCACACGACATAGTAACCCTTATGACATTCCTGATAGATGTGAAAGTTTTACAGTAGAAAAAGGCAAAAGAACACTATCTGCTATTATCTTCATGACTGTAAAATCTGTATTGTTTTAAATACAAAATGTGAACACTGAAGGAAAAAGCTGAAGTTGTGAAGTGAATTTGTGCTTTTCTTTTTCTATTTCCTGATTTACTGAGCTTCAGAATATGACCTTGTTTTAACAAAGGCTGCCATTTACTTTTTATTTCTACAGTGAAAAGTTACATATGAATGCAACCACTTTTACAACAACCCCATATCCAGAAGATCTTAACATTAAAAAGCTGAAGTTGAAATTTCTTTAGGAAGAACTTTCTCCTTTCACTTCCCCCACATCAGGCCTCACACCTCTCTGGGCTTTGAAATAATGCAGAGAGTGGCTTCCAGCTGTGAAAAACAGCAATGCCCTCCCCAGAGGTAGCCTCAACCTATTAGAGACCTACTGATTACAAGTATTTCATGATTTCTGCCACCAGCTGGAGAAAACTTCTCAGTGGTTAAATCTGTTCCATGCAGTCAAGCAAAATAGCCCACACCAGATGCTGAAAAAAAATTACACTTTGGCAATTAACTCTACTGGATGGGGAACATCTTACACAAAGCTATTAGGGGGTGTGCACACTTAAGCTATTTGAGGAATGACTACATGCTACCAACAGGCCTATAGCACTCTACCAAATCCTGTTTTGCATACTTGGGAAGAGACAGAATGCAAAGCAAAAGAACAACTCAATGGAGTCTACTCAAACTGCTTTCAGGCTGAAATAGGGGCAAATAACATGATTTTTTTTTTTTTAAAGCAGACATAATACACTAACATAAAATAAATCTTGTAAAAGCTGAACAACCAAGACAAAGAATAGGGTGAGACAAAAAATTAACAGCCTTCAGCCATTGACAGGGTTTCTTTCATTTATCCATGAAAAGAAACATTCTCCATCAATAACGTAAATTTCATGGGTTTCTTCACAACACCTGGACTTTTCTATTTTGAAAACCTTTAGTAGTCAGAACAAATTAAGTCAGACCAGACATGACAGACTAACTTAGATGGCAGTCAGGAAAATGTGCAAATAGCATTTATCTGCATTTAAAGAAATATTTCTCTAAGACTGACATTAGAATCAATGATTGCATATTATCACCCCTTAATATTATTCCTAAGACAAACAGACTACAAATATTGTTTGATATAAAAAAATAACATAAAAGAAATGTGGGTTACGGACAGTGCACAAGTAATTTTCCCCCCCTGTTAACTACAGTTTTCCAATTGTATTCAATGGCTCTAAACATCCCCAAAATAGCCATCTGGAAAATTATGTGGTGTCCTAGAAGTTCTACTGTGATCTTCACCTAGGTTGTGAAAACAAAACAAAAACCCCAAACCCTATATAGAATAACTATATGCAGATTTTTTGAATGATATAACTACTTCTGGAATAAAATGAACAACTTTTTCTTACAAATTTATTATCACAGCTATCTTTCTCAGAAATTATAGGGATAAGAGGGACTCATAAGCAAGAAAAACAGTGCCAGAAATAGCTTTACAATTACTGTTCTATTTTCAGTACTGCCTTACTCAACTTCTACACAACAGTGATTTGCCCATTGCCTTACAACATGCACTCTTTCTATCTAGCTCACAGTAAAATGGGACATCTGTAGGGGTTTTGAAATTAGTAAGAGCCTCACTTCAGCCTGGTCCTTTCTAGCAGTCATGGTATATATTACTAGACAGTTTTGAATTCCAATATAGCTGGGAGGGACATAATAGCAATACCAGTCAATAGCAGTGAAACAAAACTGAACATACTGTTTCCATATGAACAATTCATGCACAGGGCTAATTTTTTCAATGTTCTATTTGTCTAACCCCTCTTGTCTCTCTTGTGAAACAGCTGGCTCATACTCTTCTGGCATCTACGCATACTGTGGAAGAACAAGAATGTCATATTCAAAATGAAGGTATTTCACTATTTGTTGGGAGCTCAATATTGCTTCCATAGTAAATTAATAACTCCTAGACAGAAGAATTCAGAAGGCAAAGTTAACATTATCATCTATGGCTTTGCCCAACCATGACAGCCCCTGTTCTGCTGGCTAGTGATGGTCACACCCAGCCAGCTACCTAAGAAGCAATTGTTAGAGGAATTAAT